TGATGAAGGAGCCCTTGAGTTTTTACCGTGTATAAATATTAACAGAAGCTAAAATTAATCCATATTTAACTTCCCTACGAACAATATGAGATTATTTTAGCAACTCTTCCCAACTAATATACTATCCCTGTCTGGTTGTCGGTCTGTGCTTTCCAAAGATTTCACCCCACAAATTAGACACTATAGTCATAATTATTACTTTATTACAAAATCACTTCATTATTCCACATAGTCATTTGTTGGATCTGCCTCCACACTTACCAATTTCTTGCCCCCCCATCCTTCCAGCGTCGCCTCCTCTGTCCTGCCGTCCGTCCTTCAGACGGTCTGCTAGGGAGCGCCTCCTCCTGGTGAGCCCACCGGGTTCTCGCTGATGTGGAAGTGCCTGCATTTGTCTTTGTCCTTGATGTTTTGTGGAACCGTGACTCTATGCTCACGGTTATTTTCGGAACACTTTACGGACACGGTCTCACCGCGTTGCGGTTTCCCTCGTTGTTGCGTGACTCGGGCGGCAAGTACACTTGTTGCGCTCCTCCTTTCCACGAGGACAAGATCCCCTCCCGTGGCACTCTGTGGCTTCTCCCCACGTGGCCGGGAGAGCAGCTGTCGCATTTCTACTGCGCAGTGTCCCTGCACCCCCTGCCCCTGCCTGGCCTGCGTCAGACTCCGGCCTCTGGGTCCCAGCGGCCGCGCTCTGCCTCTTCATCTCCGCCGGGCTCCGCCGGCTCGGCGCTCTGCGACGCAGCAGCCGCTCCGGGCGTCCCTCCGCTCGCCGTTCGTCACTTCCTCTGCCACCAGATGCCCAGGCTCGTGGCCGTCCACGGAGCTCTTCATTTCTACAAGTTAGAGGTGGTCTTTTTCAGACACACTTGGTCACTTTTGATAGTCTCCTCTTATTGTTCATTGTTGTGACTTCATCTTATTTTAAAGTATTTCTTAGGAACTATCCATGTCCTAAGTCTGACGAATTCCAGTAGCCGCATTCCTCCAGGGCCTGGGTCAGCCAGCTCAGCGCCTCAGCGAACACAGGTCGGGCGCCCGAGACTGCAGAAATGGCTTTCCTCCCGGCTCTGGCGGCTGCGAGTCCGAGTCCGGGACCCAGGCGTGGGCAGGGCTGGTGCCCGAGGCCCCTCTGCTGGCGTGCGGATGACCGTCCCCTGCCCGTGTCCTCATGTGGTCATCCCCCGGTGCGTGTCTGCGTCCTGCTCTCCCCTCGTAAGGACACCGGTGGATCGGGGTCCCCAGTGACCTCCTTTGTCCTAATCACCTCCGCAAAGACCCATCTCCAAGCACAGTCACCCTCTGAGGCCCTGGGGTGAGGACTCAGCGCGTCGGTTTGGGGACACAGTTGGACCCATAACGGGGCCTGTTTTGTTATCTCTGCAACTGCTCCTGCTTCCTCGGCTTTCCATTCCGTGGCCCCGTGACATACCGCATGGTCTCCGACCGTGGGGGCACATGGGCCCCTCATTCTGTGGGCCACCCAAAGGCCCGACTGGCCCCTTCGCTCCGTGAAGGGCCTTTGCAGGTCTGGGATCTCAGATCAGCCCTGAACTTGCTTCCCCCTCGGGCAGCGGGGGAGGTGATGGTGGGTAGGGAACAAGACCAGTTCCTCTGCTGCTTTGTGAGGCAGCAAAGCACTTTAAAGGGTGGGTTTCCAGGTTACACTGTTCTGTAGCCCGAGAGCCGATGCATGTCCCACAGCTGCTCCAGGGTGAGATGCACAAGTCTCCCTCGCCTGGTAAGGCAGCGCCACGAGGGGACAGGGCGAGAGCCTGCAGTCCTGAGATGGGCTCCAGGCCTGCCTCAGGTGTCACCCCTGCACCCGAGTGCACCCCGGATTCTCAGGTTTGATTCTCAGGGGAGCACTGAGGTGATCTGCAGCGTCTTCCAGCCCCCTGCCCTCCAGCCTCTGGACACACCACCGGAGGCCCTGCAGGCAAGCCACAGACCATCTCCCGTCACAGCCACCGACACCTTCTAGATGCCCCACGTCCGGACCGTTTCTTCTCTGCCCCACCGGGCCCTTTTGGAACCCTCCCCTGGCATCTGTCACTGCAGCCTTCATGGGCTCTCCTCCTCCACGGGACTGCTCCTGCCTTCTCTCGCTGCCCCGTCCCCCTCCTCCCACGGAGGGTCCTCAGAGCCCTGTCCCCCTCTACACCCCTTCCCTCCTCGGGCCCCACAGCCCCGGTCACCCCCGTGCTGGACAGCTCACTTACACACTTGCTCCGGGGCACCCCCACTGCTGGGCCCACGGGCACCTGGTACGGGACCCCAATCCTGGCTCACCCCCCACCTGCTTGCGTCCCTTCAGAGGCTGTGCTGCCGGGGAGAGTGTCCAAGCAGGACAGGCTCTGAGGCTGGCGGCCAGGGCTGACCCCCGCTGCAGTCCCATCTGGGAGGGGTGGCCGTCCTCTTGCTGCCTCCTTCACACGCTCTCCAAGACTTTCCTTCCTAGGACACTCTGACTGGCTCCTGTTTAACCCAAGACCACAGCACCCTTCCTAGAGGCTCTTCAGGCTCCCCTGGTGCATCCCCAAGAGGAGCTTCCAGAGACCCAGGTGTGAGGACAGCACCCCAGAACCACCTGGGTTCCCCTCCATGCATGAGCACCCCCACCCCCAAGGCCAGCCAGGGGCTCTGTTCTCCCTGAGGTGCTGTCTGGCCTCCTTGTGCACCCCAACCCATGGCCTGCTGACAGGCACCCACTGTCCCCATCGTGCTCCTCCCCAGGCTGTCTGCAGCACAGGGCTCCAGCCACAGAGGCCAAAGGGGGCCCCGGGGCCTCGGAGGCAGACAGACCTGGAGGCACCACCTCTCAGGCCCTGACTCTTAAGACTGCAGCAGGGGTGGAAGCTGCTTTTCCCCAAGCTGAGCCCTGATTCTCTGCCCGCCCTCTCCTCCCACCTGCTCTCTGGGCCTCACTGACATCTGCCATGTCGTCTCTAGGGCCTCTGCCCACAGGCCTTCAGTAGCATGGCCACCCCCTGCCTTCCGGGGCACTAGGTCCCGCCCATGCTGGGCTGCCGGCCGCCCTTTTCAACTGCCAGCCAACGGGATGAGATGCAAGCAGAGGCATCCTTAAAGGGAGTAGACATGCTTTCTTAATCCCTCCTCTCCCTCCTGCCACTTGGAACGTGAGTGCAGTGGTGGGAGTCCTGCAGCCATCCTGGACCACGAGCACACGATGGAGCAGGGTCCGCAGGCCACGTGGGGATCACCAAGCACAGACAGCTTCTAAGTAAAAGTCATCACGCCTGTTTTCCCCAAAACATGCCATCTGGGTTTTCTGTAAGATACAGCCAAATCTAGTTTTAACTTATACACAGAAAACATTTACCCAATATGTATTTACTTGCTTAGTATTGTTTTCTACAGCTGACCATGAGCTCTGGGAGGAAAGGCTTCTGGTCTGCCTTGGTCACTTATGCATCTTTAGCACTTAGTATGGAGCCAGGGCCAAAGGTCAGTTGCATGCAGGGGCTACGTGACAGCCATCCATGGCTTGTCCCTCTGGGGTGAGGTAGCCAGGAAGTCAGACACAGAGCTGGAGCCTGCCTCTGGCTAGAACAGCAAGGCTGACCTGGGGGCACCCACCCCTGGGTTGTTTCTGCTTTCATAGCCTGCTGGCCAAATGCCAGTCAGCACAGAGCCACGTTTGCCGTATCTGTAGCTCCCAAAAAGAGGAAATTGGACACATGCTTCCAGCACCCATGAGAATGAATATAACCGGGGTCAGGGCTCAGGGTAACCAGGATCAGGGCCCAGAGTATAACTAGGATGAAGGCTCAGAGTGTGACTGGGATCAGGGCTCAGAGTGTGACTGATATCAGGGCCTAGTGTGTGACCAGGCTCAGGGTCTGGAGTCTGACCAGGATCGTGGCCAGGGTCAGGGCTCAGTGTGACTAGGGATCGGGGCTCAGCGTGTAACCAAGGTCAGGGCTCAGCATGTGACTGGGCTCAGGGCTCAGAGTATGACCAGGGTCAGGGCTCAGCATGTGACTGGGCTCAGGGCTCAGAGTATGACCAGGGTCAGGGCTCAGCATGTGACCAGGGTCAGGGCTCAGCACGTGACTAGGCTCAGGGCCCAGAGTGTGACCAGGCTCAGGGCTCAGCGAGTAACTGGCTCAGGGCTCAGTCTGAGACTGGAGAAGGCATCAGACTGTATTGCGAGGAAGCAGTGTTCGTAGCCAGTAGGGAGGTGAATGCCAACCTAGTGGGCATCTTTGAGTGGACAAGAAGAGTCCATCCCTTCCACCCGAATGAAGATTAATGAGGCTGAGAGTTGGCATGGAGATGGAACTGAGGTTCTAGAGTAGAAGGAAGGCTTTCCAGGGCAGAGCCATGTGAGTAAGGCTGCCATGGAGAGCAAATGGCACCGTTTTCCCCACAGAGGGAGAGGAGGCTGGGAGGGTGGCGGGTCCAGGTCGCAGGGAGCAGCTGGGTGAATGGCTGAAGAGTTTAGGCTCTCTTCCATAGACAAAGTTACTGACACGCTGCTGGTCCATGGTGAACCCGGAAAACCAGAGGAGGGTCCCACCCCATGTGCCTGAGACACTGGTCTTGGCTCTCTTCAGTGCTGGGCTTCCCTGGGGCCCGGGAACCAGCACACCGTCCCGCCCACACCAATACTTCGGGCTCCTGCTTCTGGAGAAGGCTTTTATCCACAGCGGTCAGAAGAAGGTCAAGGGGAGACGGGCAGAGGGCACAAGGCCCAGGACCGGCGAGGCCCTGGGGTTCGGGAGCTCTGTCCTCTCCTGCTGGCCCCCAACAGCCTCCCGAGCTGTGTGGCTGCCGCTGTGTGACGGCTGGTGGGGGGAACACCAGCTCCCTGAGGGACCCCACGAGGGGCACAGGAGGTCGCAGAGGGAGCAGATCTGAAAACCCAGCAAGTGCTCGGGGCTCCCTGCCGGGGCTGAGCACAGAGGCACAGCCCATCTGCGAGAACAGGACTGGACTCTATCTCGTTTGTTGGCAAGCATCATCATTACGGTTCCTGACTTTTTCATTATTTTATGCTTATATAAGAAAAATAATTTTTTTGCAAGAAAATCAGGAGGTACAAAATGGCATCCCCCCATACAGTACCAAGTCACACATACGCGTCCATGTGTCTATCACACCACAGATCTAAACTGGGAGAAATGACTGCAGGCCCACGAGATGTGGTGCCCTTGGCAGAATCGAGGAAAGTGCCGGAGCCCAGCCCGCAGACCCCACACATCCAGGAGGAGCAGGCTTCCAGGGGGCACCCCAGGCATACAGCCACAGGGAGGTGCCGGCGGGCTGGCCTCCAAGGCACTCAGTGCAGCCGGTGAGAGCACGGAATGGGGAGCGGAGGCTGGGCTCAGCCAGCGCCCGTCCGCCTCCTCCAGCCACAACGTCCCTGAGTAACTTCTGCCCAGGACCCACAGACCGGCCCCAGAGCCTTTCCCTGCATGTCACTGAGCCCCACAGACAATGCCTATGAGGGTGTCCTTTGTCCTCGATGGCTCCGTCGAGGCCCCAACTCTGCCCGGCTGTCGCCCAGCCCACCTCCCAGAAGGGCTGGAGTCCCTGCTGTGTGCAGTCCTCTGGGGGCCAGACCCTAGACCTCCTCCTCCACCTTCAGGATCATCCCTGAGAAGACCTCCAGGCCTGGGTGGGGGCCCTGGGGGCTGATCTGGGAGCCTCTGGTGGGCCCACAGGCCGCTCCGCCAGCAGGGGTGCCATCCACAACAGGGGGCGAGGATCCCCGCCCTGGGCAGGCCTCCACCAGCTTCTCGAGGGTCCGGTTGAGGGCCTCCACGCCGTCGGCCAGCCGCTGGCTCTGCTCCACCAGCCTCTGCAGCAGCAGGTTCTGCTGGGCCATCAGTGCGCTCTGCTGCTGGGACCAGTGGGAGAGCAGGGCACCCTGTCGCCGATGGGAGTCCAGCAACCGCTGCTCAAACTCGGAGGCCTCCCCCGCGGGCCTCCCAGGGGGTGGGGGTGGTGCAGTGGAGGGTGGGGAGGGCCCAAGAGGCCCTGGGAACGCAGCCGCAGGAGGCACCGAGGCTAGGGAGGCTGGGGAGGCCGGTGGGGAGGGCGAGGAGGTAGGCGCAGGGATAGTTCCTCGTAGGTCCAAGGGGTCAGGTTCAGGCAGGCTCGGCCCTTCCAGGGTCCGCAGGGGTAGCCAGAGGCAGCTGGGGGTCTCATCCTCCTCGTCCGCTGGTGGAGGGAGACAGGAAATGTCAGCCTCCAGCAGCCACGACTGGGGCAATACTTTGGAGGGGCAGAGAGGTGATGGATGGGGAGGCCCTCTGCACACGGAGCTACTTAGGTCTCCCAATGCCCTTCTGTGGTGGGCAGCAGCACTCACACGAGGAAAATAGGAGGACTCACAAGTTGAGTCTTCCTCCAGTAACACTGAGGTCCAAACCTCAGCCTGGGAACTGCAAAGCCTCGGTGCCCAGCCTCCATGTTGCCATTCGTCCACACATCCATCCAGCTGGCCCCTGTCTATCCACCATCCTGTCTATCTGTTCATCCACAATACCACCCACTCATCTGCCCATCAATTTCTTCATCCATCCTCCATCCTTTTCCTTTCATCCTCCTTCCTTATACTCATCTATCCATTCACCCATCCATCCATCATCCATCCCCCATCCACCCACCCATTTACCCACGCCTCTGTCCACCCATCCATCCACCCCCCCATCCACCCCCCATCTATCCATCATCCATCCATTTACCCACAACTCTGTCCACCCATCCATCAGTCCATTTACTCATGCCTCTGTCCATCCATCCATCCATCGTCCATCCATCCATCCACCCATCCAGCCATCATCCACCTACCCCTTTACCCATGGCTCTGTCCAACCATCCATCCATCATCCATCCATCCATTCATCATCCATCCCCCATCTTCCATCCATCCATCCACCCACCCATCCATCATCTATCCACCTACCCATTTACTTATGCCTTTGTCTATCCATCCATACATCCTCATCCATCCTCCACCCACCCATCCATTTACCCACACCTCTGCCCACCCATCCAGCCACCCACCATCCCTCCATCCCTAATCCACCCACCCACCCAGCCATCATCCACCTACTCCTTTACCCACATCTCTGTCTACCCATCCATCCATCATCCATCCATCCACCCATCTATTTACCTATGTCTCTTGTCTACCCATCCATCCATCCATCCATCCATGTCTCTGTCCACCCATCCATCATCCATCCATCCATCCATTTACTCATGCCTCTGTCCATCTATCCTCCATCCACCCATCCATCCTCCATCCACCCATCCATTTACCCACGCCTTTGTCCACCCACCATCCATCCATCACCCATCCACCCATCCATTTACCCACACCTCTGTCTACCCACCCATCCATTTACTCACATATCCATCCATCCATCCTCCATCCACCCATCCATTCATCCAGCCAGCCATCATCCATCTTCCATCCACCTACCCCTTTATCCATGGCTCTGTCCATCCATCCTTCATCCACCCATTTACCCACGCCTCTGTCCACCCATCCATCCATTCATTTACTCATACCTCCATCCACCCATCCTCCATCCACCCATCCATCTTCCAGCCACCCATCCATTTACCCATGCCTCTGTCCACCCATCCATCCATCCATCATCCATCCACCCATCCATCTACCCATGCCTCTGTCCACCCACCCAACCATCCATTTACTCACACCTCCATCCATCCATCCATCCATCCATCCATCCTCCATCCACCTATCCATCCTCCATCCACCTACACCTTTATCCATGGCTCTGTCCACCATCCATCCATCATCCATTCATCCTACATCCACCCATTTACTGACGCCTCTGTCCACCCATCCATCCATCCATCCATTTACTCATACCTCCATCCATCCATCCTCCATCCACCCAACCATTCATCCATCCATCCTCCATCTGTCTACCCCTTTATCCATGGCTCTATCAACCCATCCATCCATCATCCATTCATCCTCCATCTACCCATTTACCCACGCCTCTGTCCACCCATCCATCCATCATCCATCCATCCTCCATCCACCCACCCATTCATGATCTGTCCTCCATCCACCCATCTATCTTCTATCCATCCACCCACCCATCCATCTGTCCATCCTCCATCCACCCACCCATCATCCATCCATCCTCCATCCACCCATCTATTCACCCACACTTCTGTCTACCCATCCATCCATCATCCATCTTCCATCCACCCAGCCATTTAGCTATGGCTCTGTCCACCCATCCATCCACTTCTGTCCACCCATCCATCCACCCTCCATCCACCCAACCATTTACGTATGCCTCTGTCCACCCATCCATCCACACCTCTGTCCACTCACCCATCCATCCATCCATCCATCCATCCATCCATCCTCCATCCACTCATCTATTTACCTATGACTCTTATCTACCCATTCATCCATCCATCCACCCATCCTCCACCCATCCACCCATCCGTCCACCCTCCATCCACCCAACCATTTATCTACGCCTCTGTCCACCCATCCATCCATCCTCCATCCACCCACCCATCTGTCCATCCTCCATCCACCCATCCATTTGCCCTCACCTCTACCCACCCACCCATTCATCCATCCTTCCATCCATCCAGGCACCTATCCATGGATCTCTGGGTCCACTCCTCCAGCAAGTGGATGTTCTAGGAGGCTGAGAGAGTGTACCAGAGTTTCCCCAAGGCAGCAGGAAAAGCCCTGGACATGAAATCCTAGAGCCTAGGGTCCAAAACCAGCTCTGCCTCTTGACAGCCATGCAGTTTTGGGAAACCCTTCTCTCCTCTGGACTTCCAATCCCCAGTGTCTGGCTGTAGGGATGTCTAACCCTTCCTCCTGTCAGGGTGTGGGGGGTACACTGGCCAACTTCCCAGGGAAAAACTGGACCCGAAACATGGGGCTGTGCCATGTCCTGTCTTGCTGGACACGTCCCAACATGCTAGTGGAGAGGAGTGGGAGGACATTCCTATGTGGCAGCAACTGTGGGCTTACCTCCTGGGTCTGAGCCTCGCTCACCTCACCTATGGCACAGGAGTTACTGCTTTGCAATGGAAATGGGGTAGTGATAGTGGGCAGGGTCCAATGAGCTCCCTGGGAATGGGACAGGGGAAGGGGTCTGAGCCTGATGAGGTGTCCATGGACACAGGTGGCCACCCATGCAGCCTCCACCTCCTCCTGCTGCTGCTCCTCTTCCTCACTGTCACATCTTCCTTCTGTGCTCCTGGCATCTACCGATCCTTCCGACCTGGTGGCCCTGGATATTCATGGAGGCAGCCGCCCTGCGGACTTGTTGCTTCCCTCTCAAGACGCAGCTGTTGGTGAGGGCGACCGGCAGGCCCCGCCACTTGGAAGAGTTCCCATCAGAGAGGCCCGGCCCTGAGCTTCGGGCAAGTCTGTCTTGCTTGTCATTTGCAAACTGTACCTTCCACTCCGGGAGGACCAAGCTTGGTGGAGAGGTCCCAGGTGGAGGGCCTAGCTGCCCTCAGTGTGCTGTAAGGTGGCAGGGGCCATGGGCCAGGCAGTGAGCACCGAACAGACGTCAGCCTGCCTCTGCTCCCATCCTGCAGACGAGACCTTGGCACAGCCTGTTTCTTCTCCCGGTGCAGCATTCGCCCATTCTCATGTGCAGCTGACCCTCCGTCACCCCGACTTTTCATACTGAGGGCCGTTGATGGAGAAGAGGGAAAGCCAACACAGCTTTGACTTCCCAGGGACCCCAGGGAATGAGGGCATCATCCCCTGGAACGCTCTGCCCTGCTCCTGCCCACCGCAGCCCCCACACAGTGCTCACACTCCTGACCTTGCCTGGGTGGTTCCTCCTTCGGCCTCTGAGCACGCTGTCCTTTCCACCAGGACAACTACTACCTGGCCTTCAAGACAGAGCCTGCGCTCTCCCAGGAAACTCTCCCTGCCCCACCTCTCACTGGACCGGACCGTCCATCCCACCCTCCCCCTGGGATGCCCACTCATGGAGAGACAGGCTCTACAGTGTCCATCTCTGTGTGTCAGAGCCCGGCACGGAGCAGAGGGCTGGTGAGTGAGTGAGGAGTGAGTGGAGGATGGCTGCCCAGCCCTCCCTCCCAGCTGGAGCTGGCCTGATCAGGTGCTCACGTGGCGGCGGTGGCGGCGGGTTAGCACGGAGGCCCAGCCGTCAGTTCCCAGGGCTGCTCTAAGCCCCATCACAAGCAAATAAAGGCCTGATATCTGCTCTCACTCCCTGAGCCAGCCAACTTGTCCCAAGCCAAGTTCCGATGGTTCCAAGAGGAAGGGCCCACCCCAGCCTCCAGACCAGAGCCAGGCCAGAGGCAGCCCTGAGCCACACAGGTGCTTGGGCAGCTGATGCAGGAGTAGGAGGGTCAGAGGAAGGGGACAACACCACCAGACCCAGCTTGCCCTTCCGGGCAAAAGAGAAGCCACAGAGCTTTCTGGAAAGGCAGGCTGGTGAATGCGCTCCCGGGCAACCACGGCAGTGAGATGCCCCACGTGGTCCTGCTCACACTCATGACCCGTTCCGTGCCCTCCAGCCTCAGCAGGGGTGCAGACAGCAGGTGGCGGTGCACAGCACCCTGGGTGCAGACCCCGCAGTCCTCTCTCTCCCCTCCCCTGCACCAGTTCCCCTCGACTCAGAGAAAATCCTGTGGGCGGGCCCCTCCCCAAGTACTGGGCAGGGCCTAGGCCTCCCAGGGAGACAGGACGGGGGGGCCGCGGGCCAGCCGTGCTGTCCCCTCATACTGACTTACTTGGTGCCGGCTGGCTCCAGCCAGGAGCTCGCTGGCCGCCTCTGTGTGCGAGGACGCAGCCTCAAGGCTGGCTTCAATACTATCTGCAAATCAAGACAACAGAAGGCATTACAGAGTGTGACCCTGAGGATACCCCAAGGGCGAGCCCCGGGGAGCCCAGGCCCAGAGGTGTGGGGGTAGATGGCCGCTGCCCCCCCAGTGGTCACTAAGACCCCATGCTGGCTTCACTGGAAGCCAGGTGAGGAGTCCAGCCTCCAGAGAGGCAGAGGCTGCAGGGATGGGGCGCTGGGCCACGTGGCTGGCGTGGGCCCTGGTCACCGAGCCATCAGGAGGTGCCCCTGGGGGCAAGGACAGCCCACTCAGGAAAGGGCCGAGGCCAGCCCGGAAAGAGGCCTGGCCCTGTTACCTCTCTGCACCCTTGGGCAGTCCTCCTGCTCCTGACCATGGCCCCTGCCTCGAAGAAAGGGACAGAGGCCGTCTCTGCAGGTCCCATGGAGCCACTAGAAGGACCATCCTGCCTGGGGCTGTGGTTGGGCGGCAGCGCACGCTGGCCCGTGGTCTCCAGACAGTGGCCGACCGGCTCAGGCTTCCATGTGGGGTCTCAGGCACGGGCCTGGTGGGGGTGTCAACGGAGCCCTGACCAGTGCCACCAGCAGCACAGCTGGGCCACCCTCATGAGGCCCAGAGCATCCCCAGGAAACCAGAGCATTCCACTCCACGATGCCGGCAGTAAAAAGGCCGCCTTGTGAAAACGTGCCAGACCCACTCAGAACTCAAGGCTAGGCTGCGGGACACACAGAGCGATGGTGAGTTAAGACTGTGACCTTCACCCGCAGTAGGAACTGGGTTTGAATCCAGGTGAAGCACACGTCTACACTGTGTCCTCTTCTACCGCCAGGGATCCTGGTAGCGCTAGATGGAGCAAGCCTGTGGCCACAGCAAGAGGCGCTCTCCCCGACGGCCAGCGGCCGATACTGCCAGCTACTGCGAACACACAGCTCCTGCTTCAAGCGCAAGGAGACAGGACCCCAAACTCACAGGACTTCGGAGGCAGAAATAGTTCAATTCAAAGCCTTCATCTCCCCTGGAGCACGAGACGCCGGGGTGCCCCGGAGCGGAGCGGAGCGGCAGGCCCAAGGCCCGCGGCAGAGAAGGCCCAGATGAACGCAGGCACCACCGGCGCACGGCGTGCCCCCTGCCCAGCGGATTGCTCTGAGGGGCTGTCTTCTCTGGGGCTCCCTCCCCCGCACCCAAAGCCCAGCCCCTCCATGCGGAGCCCCACTGGAAGCAGAGGAAGGAGGGCTTCACCCCTTCTCAAGCTGGGGCACCCCTGCTTCTCCCCCATGTGCAGCGCTGACCCCCCAGTGTCCACCCAGGTCCCTGCTCAGGTGCCAGGGAGCCACGTCGCACCCCCAGGCCGTGGGCGGCAGCAGCCCCACCCTGCTCCCGCGGAGGGAAGAGCGGACGCACAGGGCAGGAGCAGCGGCTCCCACGCGTGGGAAGATGGCAGGGTCTGGGCCAGTGCCGGGCGCTGGGGGCCACGCTCCTAGCTGGGTCCTGCCTCCGTCCAGCAACCGCACAGAGCCCGGGCTTTGCCGGCACTCTGCTCTCAGGCTCTGACAAAGCCCGAGTCTGGCCTGCACCGAGCACAGGCCCTGGCGACGCAAGCGATCCCACAGCCGAAGGCCACCTCAGACCAAGAATGAACATGCTCGGCCTGCAGAGCGCCCCCCAGATCAGACCCAATTCTGCCTTGGGCCACGGTACAAGCAGACCTGCCCCCCAGACCCAGCTCCCTCCCCGAGGGGCTGCCCGGCGGGCAGGCGGCAACCCACCACCCGGCCTGCACACCCCGATGCTTCGTAGGCCCTGAACCACCTCTGCTTCGTCTCGAAGACCCCGAGTTGGTCAGGGGCAAATCTGCAGGTGCCCTCCACTCACCCCCAGGCCCCGCACAGGGGCTGCTCAGCGGGAGCTTGTCCTGCAGGGCCTCTGCTCCAGCGACTATGGGGCACCCAGACTCCGGGCCAGGCCTTGGGGGGCCGAAGAGAACCCCCTTCAGCACCACTCCCCAAACACTCACAGGCAGCAGGGGGGTGCACCTCAAGGCACAGCCAGAGAACTGCCTACTCAGCCCCCCATGGAGGCCCCAAACTCTACCAACTGGCCATCCTCAGCCCCTGTGGCCGGGAGAGGCCCCTGCAGGCCTGACCCTGCCCAGGCGCCAGGCGAGCGTTGACCGGGACGGAGGAACTGGTGGGACCTGGGGCAGTAGTCTCTGCCACCCACCCCCCACTCCCCACCCCGAATCAGGTTTTGTAGCCGCCTCCCTGACCCATAGCTCAGCCCTGTCAGGCAGGTCCGGCCCCAGGCCACTCCCTCTCACTCGTCACTCAGTGACAATCAGCACAGTCCCGGGACGGACACTCCCAGGAGGAGCTCACAGCACTAAGGAACCAGTCAGTTGGCTGCCTTGACGGAGGCAAGCCCAGGGGCTGCAGGGTCTAGGGAAGAGGGTGCCTGGCCCAGCAGGGCAGGCAGGGACGTCTGTGCTGGACTAGACCCCTCCATAAGCCAAGCACCAGTGACCTTCAGGAGCAACACAGCCACCAAATTCCTGCCCGGCTCCAGGGCTAGGGACTCGTGGGGTGGGCCTGGTGGGGGTGTCAGCCCTGCAGCGCCCCAAAACGGGGTCTGGCCCTGCCTGTAGGAGACTGTGGCGGCCTCCCCTGGCCTGCCAGGCTGGCCCTGTCCTGCACCGTCTCCCAGGCCCATGACCAAGGCCAGCCCCCAGGGAACGGCGCGTCTGCACACATCTTCCGCTGGGCCCACTAGACGCTGTGCTGTAGCCATCCGCTGGGGCACCTGTGTGCAGGCTGGGTCCTGTGGTCCACGCTGTGGCCTTCGAGAGAGAGCTGGTCCTGCTCCAGGCTTCATCCCCAAGGGGCTTCCAGCAGCTCCTCAGGAAGCAAAGAGTCCATGTTGGCCGAGAGGAAGGGTGCGGCCGCTGCGGCAGACTGACCAGGACATTCAGAGGTGTCTTGAGGAAGAGGAGCGGCAGGAGGAGGTGCAGAAGGAGGTGGCACCAGGAGTCCAGGCCAGCACCACCCTGGAGGCCAGAGGTGGCTGTGTGCAGCGGGAAGACCCCACCAAGCACCCCATGCCTTCCTCACCAGACACAGAAACTTCCAGATAAGGAGGCCTATAGGTGGGCGCATGGGCTCAGAGTGGGGGGTCAGTGTGCCCTGGGAAGCTGAGAACCGCTGGACACTGCCCTGGTCTACTCTGGGGGCTGAGTGACCCCAGGGAAAAGGGCCCCCATAACGAGAGCACAGGAAGGGGTCAGGGTGGTCCCCCTCCCCCACACCAGGAGAGTGGCACCAGGTGGGGACAGGGAGGGGAGCATGGCCCCTTGTCCTCTGCCCCCTCAGCCTCTGGAGGCCCTTGGCTGTGCTACGTCATTGTGGGGGGACCCCCAGAAGGGCTCCCAGCTTGGGGCCAGGATGAGACTGACTCTGAGCCCCAGCTCCTCTGTTGCCTCGGTGGGTGGGCCCCTCGCGGACCCCAGGCTCCGTTTCCCATCTACACGTGGGTGTTGGTCAGACCCACAGGCCCCCAGCCCTCCCCGAGGGTCCTGCTCCCTGGGGCCCTTCACTGGAACCCCAGCACAGAGGCAGGCCTAGGGGGCTCACTTACTTGGCAGGGGCTCGGCGGCCTGGCCCTCGCCTAGGGGGGCTGGGGCTGAGAAGGTCTCGGCCACCATGCGCTCGACAGGGGTAAGGATGAGGCCGGGGGCCCGCGGGCGCTCCGCCAGTTTCTTGCGCACCGCCCCTCGCAGGTCCCTCCACTTGTGCTTGAGGTCGCCCAGGTCCCTCCGGCAGTAGCCCAGCGCATTCACCGCCTGCAGGATCTTGCTCCACACGCGGTGTTTCCGGGAGGGCGTGCCCCGCAGCGCCCCGAACAGCAGCGGGTGGTGGCGTGCCACCCTCTGCACCAGCACCTCCGTCTCCTGGGGGCTGAAGTTGGGCTTGCGCGTCTTGGTGCGGGAGTGGAGGCCCCGCCGCAGGGGCGCACAGCCCAGCCCGGGCAGCAGGGCCGCCACGGCTGGCTCTGGGCTGGAGCTCTGCCGGGACGTGTTGCTGCTGCCGGACCCTGGAAAGGCACCAGAGGCTGAGGGAGCAGGCAGAGGCCCGCGGCCAGCTGGGGAGCAGACGGGCTGGGCCGGGCCGGGCCCAGCCGAGCACCGCCAGGCTCACAGCCTCCATGGTCCCCGCAGAGGGGCACACGGGCCCCTGCCCATCATCCATCACGGTTGGATCACCCACAGCGGCACACCGTGGGGCCCTGCGGTCTCAGCTGCTCTCGGCCCCAGGTGTCCCACTCCGGGTGCCCCAGGGTCCCCATGCCCTGACCACGGTGGCCACGAGTCAGCCCTTGCCTGCCCCTCTTCCCCCTGCACCTGGAGATGGCCCCTCCCCATCAGTCTGTCACTGGGACTGAGTGACCATCTGGGTGACATCTGGAGTGGACAAAACACTCTGCACACCCCGGCCGGAGACAGCCAGCCAGAGGTGGGAATGGCTGCGGCAGCCATGCTGAGGCCGACAGGGGCGCGGGGCAGGAGGACGTGCAGCCCAGGCAGGCAGGGGCCTGTGGAGACCAGCGCGAGGCATGCTGGGGCAGCCCACTGCACAGCCTCTGAGCACAGCCCTGCACGCAGCCCAGGCTCTGAGAGAGGGCGAAAGGCGAGTGTGCTGGACAGCAGCCCCGGGGTCCCTTCCTCTCCTGGGGGTGCAACACAGCCAGGGGGACAGCCAGGCTGCCCCGTGGGGAGCAGGACACACACGGACCTCAGAACCTTGGAACGGGGAGGGGGGCAGAGGCTGGCTGGGAGCTAACTGTGCTGGCCAGTGGCTCTGGTGCCAGGAGTCAGCCCCACGCTTCTGCACCAGAGAACCATGGTTCCTACACCGCCCACTCAGGGCTCCCAGGCCCTCGGGACAGCAGCAGAAGAACCATGTGGCCACCTGAGGTGGAGAGACCAGGCTGGGTGGGGCTGAGGTCTCACGTGGAGGGAACACAGAAACCAGGGACAGGGAACCGCTCCAGGTGGCTCTGGGCTCCACATGTCCAGCCCTCTCTGCTGGGGCACCCACTGCAGCCTTGACCCCTCCCCCACCCAGGACAGTTTGTCCTCACCCTGGGGAGTCCTCTGATGGGACGAAGGCCCAGGGTGGGAGGCATGGAGGCCCAGACTCTTCAATGAGCAGAATGGGTGGGCCACCCTCTTGCATGAGCTTTCCCAACTCTGGCCTTCCTGAGGGGCTGGGGAGACCTGGGGACATAGAGTGGAGGGGCAGCAGAGGCTCAGACCTCCAGAACCACCCTGGCTCTCGTTCATCTAGGAGGCAGCCCTGCCTACACCTGGGGGAAAGGGCATGTGGTTGTGGGGCAGGTGGTTCAGAGGGTAGCACAGATACCCACCGATGGCATCCCCTTGCTCTGACACCATGGAGGCCAAGTCCTTGATGATCTGATTGACATCCAACAAGTCACTCTGTGGAAACAAGAAGATGGCCATTAGGTGCGGTGGTCAAGGGCACAGCCATCAGGGAGTGCTAAGTGAAAGCCAAGAACCAGGAACAAGCCTGGGTCATGCCCCCACCAAGTCAGAGACAGGGCTGGGATCTGAACATTCTTACCTGATCCCAAGGCCAAACCCCAAGCTCCCTGGGTAGCCCAGGGCTGTAAGCATCCTCACTGGGTACAGGGGACCCAAGGCTAGCCCTGGAGGGCCACAATCAAATGCAGGGCAGTGTTGCCAACACTGTCTGCACCTCCCACAGGCCTGTTGGTCCTGTAGACACCTCATTCCCCATACTTGCTTTGGGGCTCCTTGACTGAAAGGTGGTATCTTTCCCTCTCTGTACACCCAGCTCCTGGCACAAGCTAGCACACAGGTGCTGCTCAATAAATCCTGAGGGAGTGGGGTGGATGGACAGATGGTTGGACGGATGGTGGGTGGGTGGATGGGTGGATGGGTAGATGGTGGACGGGATGAGGGGTGGATGTATAGGTAGATGAATGGATGAATGGATAGGTAGATGAAAGGACAGTGGATGGGTGAATGGATGGATGGGTGGATATATGGTGGATGGGTGGATGGATGGTAGATGGGTGGACAGGTGGATGAATTGATGGATGGTCGGGTGGATGGATGGACAGGAAGATGAATGGATGGATAGATGGGTGGATAGATGGTGGATGGATGGATGGTGGACGGGTGGATGGATGGGTGGGTGGGTGGATGAATGGATGGATGGATGGGTAGATGGGTAGATACATGGATGGATGGATGGATGGTGGATGGATAGATAATGGATAGGTGGTGAATGGTGGATAGATAGATAAATAGTGGATGGATGAGTGAACGGGTGGGTGGGTGGGTGGGTGGGTGGATGGATGGATGGATGGATGGGTAGATGGGTAGATGGTGGATGGATGCCAGTCCCACTGCCATGGAAAGACTGAGTGGCTTCATGAAGCTAGTGAACAGGGTAAGGAATAGATATTTGGACCAAGAGAATTTGGGGTATCCCATTTAAGCATATCTTGCATCCTCCATGTTGTTCAAATGTCTTATCTCCATTTGCCAGCAAAGCAGCAGTGATGCTTGTGAGGGACGTGGCCATATTCTTCACAGGCCACACGCCTGGAGCAATGCTGGGGGCACGTCACACAGCACCGTCATACTTGGCAGCAGCCCTGAGGCCAGGTCACAACACCCACCTGACAGTAAAGGTTGTGGACACTCGAGGGGGTCCATGACCCCCAAGGCCTCCCAGAGAGGGAGGGTGGGACTGACACCTGTGCCCACTGGCTCCAAGGCCACCCTTTTCTTTAATGCCACTTTGCAGGAGACAGCTCCTCCACTGGCCAGCCAGGTGACCCTGGGCAAGACCATTCACCTTGGGGACAGATTTCCTCATCTATCACATGAGCAAAACCAAAGCTTCCTCCCTGGGTGCCTGGCACGTGGGTTGATTCCTTCATGCCAGTGAGGGAGGGTGTGGAGGGGCGGGGGTGTGAACCCCACCCCAGGCCCTCCCGCTCTGCAGCTCATTCTGGAACCTGGATCGATTTCCACAAGGGTCATTTCACCCACTGCAAAATATTACACGGAAATTCATTTTCTTTTTAGGAGTGTTCTGGGAAACGAAGCAATTAGCATGATCTTAAACCTACGTGTACTATCAGTTGCAATTCAATTATGGGCTTAACCACGGTGCAGGGCAGACGGCCACTCTGCAGAAACAGGGCCCGTGGCTGGGAAGGTGGCGGCCCACAGGCCAGCCTGTGGGTCTCGTTTCTGGAGGACGGCAGCAGATGGGTGGGTGCTGGGTGGCCCTGGGCCTGGGCCCATTTCTGGGATCCCCGTCACCACAGCTTCCGGGTGAGGCCACCGGCTGGGGAGGCCAAGCCTAGGCTCCACCCTAAAGTTGAGATGTCAAGGTCACGAGATAAAGGCTGCAGGCTCAGCAGAGCCTCAGTCACACTACCTCCCTGCCCAGATTTCCAGGTTTCTGCTCCAACCCTGTCAGAGGCTGGGCAGGGGACAGCCATGCCCAACCTCCAGCTTGGTCACCGAGGCCTCTCACAGGAGGCTCATCTGGGGGCCCTGAGCCTGGTCCTGGGTGCACCTGGACTCTGGGACTCTTAGGAGCCTTTCTAAGGTGACTCAGTCTCCCCATGCTATATGTGAGCACACCTACCAGTACCCCCACTTTGCAGACAGGGAAACCAAGTCACCGAGAGGTTAAGGGTCTCTCCCAAGGGTATGTGACTGACCAATGCTGGAGCCAGCAATCACAGCCGAGTTTGGGCTGGCCTACCCCGGGTCACTACCCAGCCAGGCCTCACCACTGCAGGGCACCCCGGCAGTCACGACACCCGGGCGTCAGTACATGGGGGGTCACCCGGCACAGCTGCCCACACCGGCAGGACTCATGGGCATGCACTCTGTCTCTTCCCACGGGCAGGGCGGCTGGGGGCCACGGCTGGCCTAGGGGCACAGCCACACTCAGCAAAGGACCGGGCAAGGAGGGGTGTTGTGGAGCAGGGGACCCGAGCCCAGTACCCTCCCAGGGGCCTGGGACTCTCAGGCCACCTGCCAGCGGAGGGGCAGCCACCATACTCCGTGGCGGCTGAGCTGGCTCATCCCGGTCTGGCATAGCACTGACCCCAATGACCTGGGACAGCCAGGACAGAACACGGTGTCCCCAGTCTGGCTCACGTTCTGGACTTTGGGGAGGCCTCCCTGAAAGATGCAGCGGCCAAGGCAGTTTTCCAGCTTGCTGCCAATACATGGTGCCATTGCTGCCAGCCGGCTTTACAAACATTCCCCGCCAGGGCCTGACCCCCACCCCCCACCCCCCCACCCCCACCCCGGCAGGAGGTTTCTGCAGGAAGCAGTCCTCAAAACACCGCCAGGAGCCGGTGACAGCCCACACATGGGGCCCTGCCCAGAGTGGGACAGATGGAGCCAGGTGGGCCGCGCCCCGGACTTCCTGTCCACACCCGGCTGGCCCGGCAGGCCCCCTAGAGTGGGAACCACCTGGCCGGCTGGCGTGAGCGGAGATGCGCAGACGTCCACTTGGGCTCCGACTCCCAGAGCCCTCAGTGCGCCGGAAGCAGCACTGCAGAGGAAGGGAGGCTTACGCAGGGTGACCCACCCTGGACCATGCTTCAGGGGCACCCACATCTCAGGGCTGCGCACCGGGAGCTTCCCACTCCCTGGGCTCCTGGCGGTCCAGGTCACCTGTCACACACACCCTTCTTTATTCCAGGCCTCCCTCTTTTCAAAATGCCCGACGCGCAGACCCCTGATCTTTGCCAGCCTCCGGGCTGATTGATGCTGCAGGAGTCCCCAGCAGACCGCCCTGAGGCCCTGCTTCACCCCCAAGATCCATGACCCATGACCCTCTCAGTCAGCGACACATAAACGCCATTTGTCTTCAACAGAAGCTCAGGCTGGACCCCTGGAAACAGTTTCAAAACTAAGAACCATCCCCCCCCTTTGGTGTTCTGGAAAATGCTTTCTGCAGAGAACCCCCTCTCCATGGGACTCTTCCCCCATGTGTGATGGACGCAAGGGCACCCCGTTGTTTACCCAGGACAAGAGCCCCTCACTCCCGCTCTGTGCCTCCTACAAGGTGAGCAGAATGCTCATCCCCCTGACCTGTCAGGACGAAAGGCCTGGTAAACCACTTGGAGCTCAGTTCCTCTCCTCCCCAGGCCTGGACACCCCCTGACCCAGAGAGCTGTCACCCAGCCCTCACCCCTATGCAAGAGGACCCCTGTTTCCCAGCTCTTGGGGTGCTTGCACACCCTACCTTCCCAGCATTCTCCGTTTTGTAAGACATCCCCCATCATTTTGAATAAAGACTCTCCTTGCTCTAAACAGTTAAGCCGTGTTGGGGAGGAACGAAGGATGAGAGGGTGTCCCAAGGCCCCGCATGCTTCAGCTGGTCTCTGCCAGGTCCGAGGGCTGCAAGACTGTGGGCGGGAGGACAGGGATGCCACAAGGGGGCACACGTGAGGGACCACCCTCGGGAGGGAAGCAGACTACGGGGAGGGGCTGGTGAGCTTGGGGCTGCAGACCCCGTCCAGACCCCCAGGCAGTAGCCTCCCGCAAGTCCCTGCCCACAGCCCTGGCCCTCTGTGCCAGGGAGGAGCAGGGAGGTGGTGCTCCTTGGACAGGTCTTCACCCCGCTGTGCCTGGCTCTCGGGCAAGACAGCTCCCAGGCCCTGGGACCTCCTGGGGGTGAGGGGTTTGTGTCTCATTCACCCCAGCATCCAATGGCCGTCTGCAGAATGGATGGGGCAACGAGACTAGGCCGGCTCTGGGGACAGAGCTGCCATTTTGCCAGGAGAGGGAGGGCCCAAGAGAAGAGGTGTGGACGGACAGCCTCAGCAGCAGGCAGCATGCAAAACGGGAACATCTCGGTGCAGGCCACTGGCAGGGACAGTGTCCCTCTAGTCACTGTGCCTGGACACCTGGGCATGCCTCGGCTCCGGGAGGAGGATGCCAAAGGCAGGTGGGGCCCAACTCCCGGGCACGCCTGGGGGATACACCAGAGACGTGGGGCCCACCAGGAGCCTGGGTGGGAGCCACGTTCCGGCAGAAGCCCGGTCCTTGGTCCTGGAGGGGAGGGCTCGGAGCCAGGCTGGTCACGGGCCTGAAGGAAGGTGGGCCTGCACTGGGTGCCCAGAAGCCCCCCAGAGCTGCCCCAAGACGGCACCCTCCAGGGATGGCAGGCAGCACCAGCTGTGGTACCGGAAAGCGGGAGAGTGGGCGGCAGAGAGAGACTCAAAACACCTTCACTTAGTAAATAAATGTTTAAATCATGCAATTATTTTCCTGATGGCTTCTAAAACTAGCAATCGTTAAAAGCTCTCACAGAATCTTCGTTCTCCTCGACGGGCACCACGGAGTAACAACCTTACACGGGACACAGTAACACCCCGATGGGTATGCGTGTGTGTGCGCGCATGCAC